CCAACTGTGTGTGTGTGTGTATATATATATATATATATATATATATATATATATATATATATATATACTGTATATGCAGAAATCATGTAAATGTCATATTTGCAGAGTTTCTGTGCATGATTGTTTGTGCAGGTATAAACCACGGCCCGGTGATTGCTGGGGTGATTGGAGCCAGGAAACCACAGTATGATATCTGGGGAAACACTGTGAATGTGGCCAGCCGGATGGAAAGCACTGGAGAGCTGGGTAAAATACAGGTATGCACTGAATCTCTCCTACAGTACTTCACCTCTCTAGATCCACTATGATGATGATTCTCTTCTCATTTTTAGATTTTCAAAGTAGCTAAGTCATTTAAAAAAAATGAAATGGCCATCAAATGGTTTTTGCTATGACAAGTTTTGTGTTGCAGGTGACAGAGGAGACATCAGATGTCCTGCAGAAGCTGGGCTATTCATGTGAGTGTCGTGGCCTGATCAATGTGAAGGGCAAAGGAGAGCTCAAGACCTTCTTTGTGTGCACAGATTCCAGCAAACAGCAGGGCATCGGTCTGAGCTGAGACTGAAGCCTCTGCCGCTGACAGCTTCACACACACACACACACACACACATGCACGTACACACAGACTCCGGGCCTATATGTGATCTTTCTTTTTTTTTTTTTCTTTTAAGAATGTTTTATTGCTACTGGATTTGTTTCTTTAGAGCATGTCTGAAGAAGTGCACATTCTTACTAACTCTGACATGTTGGAGTTTGTTTTGGCAGCATTTGGAGATCTGAAACTCTCAGACATAAAGCAACATATATATTCACGCACCTCACACTAACACAAGCGATCCTCTTATGGGGAACAGACCACAGACAGTAGGTAACTGAGTTCAGTGAAGGAAGATACTGCTTCTCAGACTTTCTGTGTACTGCTGTCATAGTGGCCTTGATCCTGTTGGATTTAGACTGATTTGGGATGACTGAGCTGGTCGGCCGGTTTTGGTCTCATTTGAGACTCCCAGACAGAGGGAACACGTGACCCACACAAACCCATCATGGCAGATGAGCTGACGTTAAAATATCTAGAATTTGTCATTTAAAATAGCATGTAACTTATTATAAACCATTCTGTCAACATTTGGACCAACAAAATGGTGGAAGCCTATTGTTGCTTGAATATACATACTGTGGATGTTTTGTTTTTTTTGTTTTATTTTCTTTTTAAAAAGAACTGCCAGGTGTTTTGAATGCCAAATATCAACAAGAAGTGTTGATTTGCTGTTGCCTTTGAGTTGAGATTGTGGATGTTGGTGAGCCTTTCTTAGCTTCGTAATATGCTACAGACAAAAACTAGGAATGTTTACATATACTGGGAAAAAAAATGTCAGTGACTGAAATTCAGTTAACTTCAAGTGAAAGTGTACTTTCATCGCTTTCTTTCTTTCATTGCTTGTACTTTCATCTTTCTTAGATGTTGACCAAATGGCTCTGTGGCTTCTCCCATCTGAAGTTGTACATTCGCTACTGGATGTATTTATGCATCTTAGCTTACATTGCTGTAAATTGATTTGCTCAGACGGTCTCTGCTTTTGTTCTGAGAATATTTGGTGAAAATTAGAAGAATTTGTGCCTGTTGAAGTCATAGGCATAAATGTTCAATTTATGTTCAATGTCTCTCTGGGTTTTCAGCCCTCTTGAGTGTGACAGTGACTAAATTGACACAGTTTGAGATTCTGCGCTGCCTTTCTGTACCGCATTCTCAAGCATAGAAATTCAGATATTGGCGTGTGCTCTTTTATATGGTAATGATATTAATTAGGGGGCGTTTACAAGGCGGAGATCTGACACCAGTCAGCTGCGCACAATTTCAAGATCATTTGCGATTTATGAATGTCACATCTGGAAGAGAGGCGTACGCACGTGTTTTTGTGTGCACGTTCGTTTTCTCTGAAACACACTTGCGCACTTTTGAGAAATGATCTTAGAACAAATTTAGGACGGTTTATACGCAACATTTTATAAATGAGGCCCCTGGTCTTTACTGATTAATTAAAGACCGTTCCTGAGCTCTTCATTTTACCTCTGTTGTGCTTGGCACTTTAATTGCTGCTTGCAGCTATATTTAATACTTGCATTTAGTCAGACTCAAGATGAAAAACACTTTACCTCCAGGTATTGCATAGATATTTCTTTTTAGACTTTGCATCTCTTACTTCTGCATTAAGGGTTAAAAATGAAACCAATATGTACAGGATGTAGCTAAAAATCTCACTGAAAACAGAGGCAGCTCATAAGAGAGATCTTAGGCATCTTGAGCAGCTCAGGGTAACAGATGCACTCGGGAACTGGCATAAAATGCTTCATAAACGCTCCATTTAAGAGTCTGAGTGCATATCTGTGGTAGAGATCTGATAAAAATTATAATAACAGGCACAAATCCCATCTAAAAGACTTTATTAGAAAAAGGGAAAAGCACATTCCAGCAGTCACTTGCGGATCAAACTAACTGTCTCAATAGATCTACTTAATGCTTCAAGTTAGTGGATACCAATTATGTCTGTGAGCCAAAACTATGATGTTTAAAGAGTGATGTCAGTGACACTAAAAACAGAACAGTCTAGGGCTAACTGAAATAAAACCAAAATGGTTTAGTGAGATTTATCAAGTTAATTGAAATAAATAAAAAAGACTGCAGAAAATGCTGCTCCACATGAACTCATCTCTGCATGTGCCCCGAGTTTGGGTCATTCGTGAAGTGCAAGTGGGAATGCAATATTCTGCATGATTAGTGCTTTTTTAAACATCATATAAATGTCATATTTGCAGAGTTTGTTCATTGATCTGTGCATGTTTGTTTGTGCAGGTATAAACCATGGCCCAGTGATTGCTGGGGTGATTGGAGCCAGGAAACCTCAGTATGATATCTGGGGAAACACTGTGAATGTGGCCAGCCGGATGGAAAGCACTGGAGAGCTGGGTAAAATACAGGTATGCACTGAATCACTCTTACAGTATTCACCTCTCTAGATCCACTATGATAATGATTCTCTTCTCATTTTTAGATTTTCAAAATAGCCAAGTCATTAAAAAAAAATCAAATGGTGATTAGGGTTGGGCGATATAGCCTCAAAATTATATCACGATATTTCAAGAATATTTGCAATAACGGTATTTATGACGATGTAGAAAAAAAAACATGGAACAACGTTTTATTGGTGATTGCAGCTGGCAGGCTGCAGCATTTATTAGTGCAAACGAACTGTCACCGATGACAGACTACCTAATTTGAAGTGCAAATCTATTGTCATAAGGTGGCAGCAGCAGCTGTGTGTTCAACTTGAAGCAGATCGATCGGTGTATGACGTCAAAATACCTCGAGAGTGACTTACCCCTTATTTACACTGCACGCGTCTGCGGCGCGTTACGGCTCAGACGTGGCCACTCTAGTCAATGCTTGTGTGTACACCAGCGGCGCCGTGGCACGTTTCAGAAGCTTCCCAGAAGCGGCTCTCCACGCCGCTTCGCTAAAGATATGCGCCTCGCCTATTTTTGATGGTAAGAGTGTGCGCTCGAATATGCTCTAGAACCACTCTAGCGATACTTTGATGTCATACACTGATCAGTCTGCGCAGCGCTGCTTCAAGTCGAACACACCTATTGGGTTTGTGGTGTTGTTGTTGTGCGCGCTAGGGAACGTATATCTGCCATACGTCATTGCGTCGCATCATTGATATCGCGATATGACACTTTTTTTATCATGTAAAAATGTATACCGGTATTATCGTGGACGGTATGATATGGCACACCCCTAATGGTGATCATGTTTGTGTTGCAGGTGACAGAGGAGACGTCTGATGTCCTGCAGAAGCTGGGCTATTCATGTGAGTGTCGTGGCCTGATCAATGTGAAGGGCAAAGGAGAGCTCAAAACCTTCTTTGTGTGCACAGATTCCAGCAAACAGCAGGGCATCGGTCTGAGCTGAGACTGAAGCCTCTGCCGCTGACAGCTTCACACACACACACACACACCGTACACACAGTACACACAGACTCCGGGCCTATATGTGATCTTTCTTTTTTTTTTTTTCTTTTAAGAATGTACTGGATTTGTCACACGAACACATGCTGAACTTTGCGATCCTCTTATGGGAAACCGACCACAGACAGTGGGTAACTGAGCTCAGTGAAGGAAAATCCTGGTTCTCGGTATTGCTCTCAGACTTTCTGGGTACTGCTGTCATAGTTGCCTTGATCCTGTTGGATTTACTGATTTGGGATGACTGAGCTGGTCAGCCGGATTTGGCTTGCAGGCAGAGGGAACACGTGACCCACACAAACCCACCATTGCAGATGTTTAGATATCTAGAATTTCTTCAGCCATTTAAAATAATATGTATCTTATTCTAAGCCTTTCTGTCAACTTTTGGACCAACAAAATGGTGGATGCCATTTGTTGCTTTAATCTACATACTGTGGATTTCATTTTTTGGTTTGTTTCCTTTAAAAACAACTGCCAAGTGTTTTGAATGCCAAATATTGACAAGAAGTGTTGATTTGCTGTTGCCTTTGAGTTGAGATTGTGGATGTTGGTGAGCCTTTCTTAGCTTCGTAATATGCTACAGACAAAAACTAGGAATGTTTACATATACTGGGAAAAAAAATGTCAGTGACTGAAATTCAGTTAACTTCAAGTGAAAGTGTACTTTCATCGCTTTCTTTCTTTCATTGCTTGTACTTTCATCTTTCTTAGATGTTGACCAAATGGCTCTGTGGCTTCTCCCATCTGAAGTTGTACATTCGCTACTGGATGTATTTATGCATCTTAGCTTACATTGCTGTAAATTGATTTGCTCAGACGGTCTCTGCTTTTGTTCTGAGAATATTTGGTGAAAATTAGAAGAATTTGTGCCTGTTGAAGTCATAGGCATAAATGTTCAATTTATGTTCAATGTCTCTCTGGGTTTTCAGCCCTCTTGAGTGTGACAGTGACTAAATTGACACAGTTTGAGATTCTGCGCTGCCTTTCTGTACCGCGCAATGTTTGTGAGGAACGCCTGCCGTCTCCTCTGTTTTGTATGCATTGTTACAGAATAAATCATTTTACACTTTATATGCTTCCTGTCTAGCATTTTGCCAAATTGATGAGAGAAACTGTATGTCGGAGGTCACACTGGACTCAGGCCTTCTGGCGACTTCTGCAGAATGAGACTGTATTGTTCAAATAGCAGGTTCATTTATCACAGATTTATGATTTGTTGCCTTAAAACGGTAGCAAATCTCAAGAGGTCATTATGAAACATCATTATGATTTTACATAAATTTGCCATTGCCAAAAATGAAGGGCAATTAGAATTACCTATGATACTTTGTAAACTACAACAACAACAAATCTTTAGTTTGGCTTTAAATCAAAGCATCAGTGGTAACACATGTAACAACTTTCCTTTTAAGGTTTACACATAATTCTTCCAAAGCATGACAGGATTTGTGAATCTAGCAGATAGCACAAAGCACTGTGAACTGCTCTCATGTTAAATCTAGAATTTTCAAACCGTTTAGTATTTTATTCAGACCTTTACAAATGCTACTCTCTGACATTGTCATTTACTCACCCTCATAACAAACCCATAAGTCCAACACTCATCTTCAAAAAACACAGTATAAACACTGATAAGCGTGCATACATAGAGCACATCAAATATGGTGAATGGAAACTCTAAACATGTTCGATGCACGAGACCCAATGAGGTTTGTTCTCACATGTCCCACAAGCATATTTGAGCTTCCATTTACTATATTTGAAAAGCTTTATGTATGTGCTTCTATGTGATTAAAATCCTAAATTAAATGTGCTCTTCAGAAGACCCGAGTGAACTGTTTGATTCATAGATTCATTACTTAAAACAGCATCTTTTTTTCAAAGTATTAAAGTTTTGGTTGTGTGGACTTTCAGTGGAAAGACAAAAATGATGAGAAAATGTATTCGTGTGCCGAAACATAAGGATGAGTAAATTATGTAAATTTTCAGTTTTGATTGAACTATCCCTTTAAATGAACTGTTTCTGTATTACTCACTTTCTACTGTTCATTTTATTAAACTTAAGAATGGAAACACAAAATGCTTAAAAAAAAAAAACAGATGTTTATTAAATGAAACACAAGTAAATTAGAAACAGCACCACTGGGGATGACATAAGATAAGCAGAACTGATAGACTGCAGTGATGGAGGATCTCAACACACTCCCTCCATGGGTTCAGTTATATCTCCCACTGAAACACAGAAAACACATTTACCCTCATTATCCTGTTAATGTCAATTTATGAGTAGATAAATCAGTTTTATATGCACTGCCATTAACAGTTATTTCACAAACAAAACTCGTAAAACACCAAGCCGAACGTGCTAAATATTTCTTGTGCTTACTGTTACCTGTGGTCAGACGTATGAATGAATCCTGTGCAGTATGGTTAGGTAGCGAGATACCCATGGCCTTTCTAATACCGTACACACTGCACACATCACCAGGAGTCACCTGACTGGTCAGCTGGGTCAGGTTACCCGTAACTTTCTCCGCTGCAAGAAGGATGGTGGAGGTTAGAAGTTATCTAAACTGTACAAAATATATGCTGAAACCTACAGGTCTGTTAATGTGCAACAATACTGACTCACTAAAACGTCTTGAGTACAGAAACACTAAAAGCTCAAGAGGCAGGAAAAAAAAAACATCCCTTCCAGTAAGTGTTTGTCTAGTATCTGGAAGACTGAGAGCAGTAAACCTGTCATCATAGGTCATCTTGTGTGTGTGTGTGTGTGTACCAAGCTGCAGCTCTTTAGCAGTAGGAGCCAGTAGGCAGATGATGTTTGGTGGCTGTTTAGCGCTCAGTCTCTCTTTCTGAACCTTCTGCAGCTCCCTCAGCAACACTGTCGTCTCATCCAGCTTCTTCTGGAAATGCTCTGCTTCTAATGGAGGAAGAGGAATTTTTACTGAGATGAATCAGTCTGCTTAATAGGTGGGAAAAGGTTTCACATGTGTTTTTGATGTGATGCTTTCCATTCCACAGCTGAGGGAGGAGGATCATTATGAATTCATTCAGCATAATAGAGATGAAAGATGTGTCTCGAAAACAGTTCATTAATAAACTGGGAAAGAAAAAAAAAAAAACCGTGGGGCCTTGATTTCCATAAGGTTTGATCACACACAAAATGACTAAGAGATTTATGATCCATATTTCAAACTAAACATTTTAATAATGGGATTTTTACCTTCTGAGTCAAAGCTCTCAGGGAGCAGGTCAGGATTCAAATCCAAAGCACCATCACCCCTGCTGGGCTCTGACACGACAACCTACATGGACAAAGGGGGGCATGGATTGAATCCAAAGCATAAATGTGTTCAAAACACTTGTGAGAAGACTTCAGTGTAAACACCTCCAGTCAAATCACGCCACTGACTAATATGCTGATTTTATGCTTAAGAAACATCTTTTTATTCTCAATGTTGAAAACAGTTGTGCAGATTAATAGTTTTGTGGAAACCATGATGCATTTTATAGAAAGCTCAAAAGAACAGCCTTTATTTGAAATAGAAATCTTTTGTAACATTCAAAATGCTATTAGTGTCAGCCCACTGCTCCGGGTGTGTGTTCACGGTGTGTGTGTGTGTTCACTGCTGTGTGTGTGCACTTTGGATGGGTAAATGCAGAGCACTAATTCTGAGTATGGGTCACCATACTTGGCCACATGTCACGTCACTTTCACTTTCAATTTCTTAGGAGAAAACAAATCACCCTAAACTTTTGAATGGTAGTGTATCTGTATGTTTACTGTTGTACAAAGAAGTCTATCAAGTGCATGGAAGGTGCTTATATTATTGTGAGTTATGGAGTTATACAAAATTAGTTATTGTAATGTACTGACTGCCTTATTATTTTCATAGATTTTCTCTTTTATCGATTTTACAAAGCACAATCAAACTCCTTCCAAGTACCCCAAGGAACAAGCTTAGATATAAGTAGTAAGTACATCTGGTTGGGAATCACTAGATAAAATGCTTGTTCTCCTTCAACCCATCGGTCTTGTCTAGTGGATAATACATAGTTTTAACCTATGCTATATGTGAAATCTGGATAAATCTGCTAAACACAGTGTTGAACAGTAGTACCACCCTGCTAAGGTATGCTAGCAGAACCACAGTCAAAGACGGCCTTCCACACACGGACTAATGTATGTTCATAGACGACTCGTGCTTACCTTTCCCTCTACATCATCAGCACCCTCACACACACTCACACAGATTAGTGTGAGTGAAGGAGGAAGTCAAAAACGACAGAGGGAGGGGAGGGGAGTGTGTGTCTGGGCAAATATTCTTTCCATTAGTGTGAAAGTTGGTTGGTGTTGTTGACACAGCTGCTGCAGAGCAGAGAGCCTGCAGTCCTGACACTGCCTTTAAATAGCAGGTTTGTGTCTTCACTTCCACTCAAGTGAGCTATACACACTAGTATGCACTTATAGACATTTGAAATGTTATTTTCTGAGGACATGAGAGCATTTTACCACAGCATCATCTGTTGTGTCTACTTTCTCTGCAGGCTCCTCCATGGTTAGATTATCCTGAGAAGAACAGAAATAATCAAGAGTAAGCTGCCCAGTTGAAAAGAATTCAAAATGGATATTATACATTACATCATTTAGTGGTATATCATGCATTCATTTTGATATGCAGTTATGGGTATTAGATGAATGAGGTTTCTTACAGTTTCTGTCTCTTTCAGTTGTCTTGAGTGCTCCCCACTGGTCAAAGCATCCAAGACATTATCTGCCAACCTGCTCATGTGTTCCTCGGATTTAGCCAGGTAATCTGCAATGCTACACATGAACCCATCCGAATTACATTTGTGGAACACAAGGGGAACAGTGGAAGGGTGGGAATCAGGGCTTTATTGTTTGAGAGGTTCAGAAAACCACACAAATGTGTGCGGCTTACTGCAAAAAACACTGTTCTTAAGAGACGGCTGCTTCTTAGTCATCTAAAACTGATCAATGGATTGATTTCATCATATGTCTGATTCCAAACACACACCTTTCAGATTCTGGCTGACTGTTGTCCTCTCCATAGAAGGAGTAAATGAGATCAGAGTCCTCTTTGCTGATATGGGCAAAACTGGAGTCATATGTAGGTGCATATGAGCTGAATGGGCCGTAATTCATATAGGCAACTGCAAAGAGAGAGAGGGGCATGAGGAGACTTTCACAGATTCAATGAACTTCAGACTGATTCCTGAAATAGCAGTTATATGTTTAAGAACATTTCAATAAGTAACTGCCAAAGCAAGAAGTTAGACTGAGAGGAAGGACTCAACACGGTCTAAAACAGTCTAAACCTTTTGACTTTAAGCCCTCCTTAAAGTCCACAACAATATTCAGAGGCTCCTTAGCCCAAGTTTTGTTTCTGAAACTTATTTTAATTTTATGGGCACTCTTAGTTAAAATGATGAAATTTCATACGTTCAAAAGTTTTAGGGGTGGAACGTTCTTCAGGGTTCCCAATCTTTTTAATAATTTTCATGATTTACCGGATAAGGACTAAAGATTAAAAAAAAATAATAATAAATTATATTCTATATTCTAAAAAATATTTCTACCTGATAAAATAAGAGCTTGGCATGAATTATATTTATTCAAAAATGCCCATGGCTTTTTAAGATTTTTTTTTAAATTAAATTACCTTGTCTCAAAATCACAGTTCCCTCTTTGAGAACTATAAAAGAAAATGGACTAATGCATTGCCCACTTCTGAAGCGGCATTGTACAATTCTTTAACTTGACTCAAACCTTCGTTTTTTTGATCAAACAACTAGAGTTTTACATTTTGAAAATGTGAAAGAATGTGAGAAATGGAAAACTCAGTAGGATGCTCTTAAAAGGTTGCCAGAGCAGTGCGGTTGTTGACTAGCCCCCCAAAAATGAAACCCACCCCAAATCTTAATGTTCTGACTCCTTAAATGGAAGACTATGATATTTGTCTGCCTTTGAGGTATTATTCGTATCAGTAGCATGGTCTAGAAAAATTGTCACACAGAAGTCTAATACTTAGAAAAACAAGAAGCACCACAGGTAACTGACAGATAAAAGATACAGATGAGTAGAAAATAAAGACCACTGATTCAGCGGTGATTTTGACCTATCCTATTTTCCTTGGAACAATTAGATTTTTCTGGCATGTAATATTACATTCTTCTGGCAGTTGAACACTGGGTATTTAAACAGAGATTACATCGCACCCCTCCCATGATCTTCTCCACATGACTGAAGGTAAGGCCACAGAAGAGAGAGAGTACTGGGTGAGTACTGGGGCCTGTACCATGATGGTGGCTGAACAAACTCGGGGTTACAGGATTAGTTTTGAGTTGACAAAACCAAATCAGTCCAATCCGGCTTTGTTGGTACCATGAAGCTGATCATCAACTTTCTGTCAACTCAGGCTTGATCCTGAGTGAAAGATGAAAGAGTGACATCAGTAATGAACAGCCAATCAGATGCCTTGAAACTGTGATTCACTTCTTGAGAGTCAGTGCGATTCACTACCAAAGATTAAAATATTGAACAATATGAAGAATTTAAACACATTTACAAGATGAAACGATCTATCCATGAAAGAGGAAAACTTAAAGAAAACATCTTGCCTTATAAGTGCAAGCAATAGTTGTAAAGTTAGTTTATAGAGTTGATAATATTTATAGGTATAAAAACACTTAAAAATCTAAGCTCATATGTAGTCATGTTTAAAGCTATTGATTCTAAAACTTATTTATATTGCATATTATCTATATGTTTATATTAATTTAAAATAAAAGCTTAATAATTACTATAAAACTAAGCTAGCTTGTGTAATGGATTAAGGGTATAATAATTATAAAAAATAATAATCTCTAAATTCAGACAATTTTATCTTTAAAAATGTTTTACTATGTAGCGTCCTTTAATTTGGAGTAAGAGAAACTGGGGGAGAGGCTTTATTGCGTCAGAGATGTGTCACTTTGGTCAAATTTCGGTTTGAGATCTCTAAACCAGAACATTACCTGCCCCAGAGCAGGTTAGCTGTGGAGTGTAAGTTACTATGACAATGAATGCCGCTAAAAGCCAAGCCACTTTCATGGTACATAAAACCCAGGACTGGTGCAAACTAAACTGAAACTTACCTGCCTAGCCAGCTAATATGCCCAATTTGACTGGGCAGTATCCTGGATCTAACATGGAAACATGATGAACTGTACACATGTACTGTACAACATTTGCTTGTTTTCTTGAACTCCCATTGTCACAAACCTCCAGCGCTCAAGTCAGCGGGGTTCAGAATGCCCAGAGTAGTTGAACCATCAGACTTCCTTCTCTCAAACTCCAGCTGCTCATAAAAAAACAAGCCCAGAGAAAAGTGACCCTTCATCAACTGTCATCTGACATCCTCAGAGAATGATCTCACATTTGAGGGATGTACCATAACACGATTCATCCTATCTGGTCTTATACGCTTACCTCACACTGCAGGCTTCTGTTTGAGAGTTTCCCTCCAGACTCCTCAACGATCTTCTTGATCTCCTCCAGGTCCTTCTCTGCTTGGCTCTTCTGAGCATCATCCTTACTGGCCCTGCTACACAAACATTGATGCAATTCTGGATAATATATTCGTGTCATCAGTACTACCCCCTTCAAAGTGAATAAATCCCCCACATATAAGTCACATCATTCCTGAAATGAATTCCAGGCCTAATAAACTCTGAAGTCAGAGCAGTGATTGGATAAATGATGAATAATGTGATAACAGATCAATGTTTGGTCCTTATGGGCCTGTTCTCAAGCCGCTACCTGACCCAGTGGAGTAGTGTGCAGGACGATGATTCATCCTCCCTGAAAAGCTACAAAGTGTGTGTGTTTAAAGAGTGTGTAGCTCGTGCGCTACAGATGGCCTACAAGTCACAACATGTTTAAGCATTCCAAGACTCTTGGTCACTGCAGCAGCCAAGCCGATTTACGTAGGCAAGCAACAAAGACAGAGTAAAATAGAGAAAGCCAATGAACACCCCGGCAACATCCTGGAATGTCTCACTGGCTTGAGTACAGCAGCAGAAGCCCTGAATGCACTTACAAACTATTGTGAATTGCGGCACAGTTAGAAAACACACAACAAATGGTGAAAGGAAGCATTTGATTATTAATTTGAATAATTTTACTGACTGTATCACTCATTTATGTACAGTCACGCTCCTTTTTCCAGGCAGACATGATAAATAATGACTGGAATCAATCTCTTTAATGGCGGCCAATTAATATCCATGATCAGGGTTTGAAATGAGCTTTCTTTTTATTTTTAAAAGAATCTTCTATTTTTCACCACTGCAGCGTTTCATTGATTAAAAATACAGTTAAAACAGTAATATCGTGAATTGTTATAACTTTTCTATTTTAATGTCTTAAATAGTTTATTCCTGTGAAGTTTTTAGTGTCACAAAATCCTTTAGAAATCATTCTAATATGATGATTTTTTTTCGTTATTTGTGACAAACAGGACAGATCATAGTCTCTCTAGCAGCATCAGATACTGATCCAGTCTCCACTGCACCCATCAAAACATAAAGACAACCCAATATGATTTTGTTTCTCGTATATTTGTTTTGGTGTCCTAATGCAGGGACTATTTCAGAAATGTGTTTCCACGTTGAGTTCTGGAGAAAAAGAAAATGTACCCTCAGAGGTTTATTGAGAATGCCTACATTTTCCTCTGAGGTAAAAGGTGTCTTAAGACACACATGTTGAGACAGATGTTTTTACAGGTTGTGTCTTTGATTTGCTCACGTCACTTAGATTAATTTCTTTCTTATACCGTCCGTGTATTATGTTGAAGTTACACAAAAATAATGAAGTAACAACTGGCCAAAAAGCCAATTTTATTCACATTAGGCAGTTGGCAAGTGTTTTATACCCTGCCTGTTATTAATATAAACTATTATTTTAGGAAATCTACAGGAGAAAAAATTGTAATAAATAAATGGAATTGTTCAGTTGTCAAAGCAACCTCAGGATCAGTCTAACTGGAAGGAAATGTCTAAACCCTCAACTCAAATTACCTTTGATGATAAGGAAGGATTAAAGCCTGTTCACACCAAGAACATTAAATAAAACCATTTATTTGACAGGGTCTAGCTCCAACACACTTGCCTGGAAGTTTCTAGTGAGTCTGAAGGTCTTGATTAGCTGGTTAAGGTGTGTTCAATTAGGCTTGGAGTTAAACTCTGCAGGTTAGAGGCCCTCCATGAACAGGTTTGGCCACCCCTGTTCTAGACAAACTAGTCCTAGAAAATAAGTAAAAAACTGAAACATGATTCATACCTTGGTGTATCTTTGTTGCCTACACGAGGTGATTGGGAGTTGTCACTTGTGTCCATAACAGATGAGTTCTCTTTGACAGCATCAGACGTCCCGCCCTCATCCTCTCCATCCTCTGCTGAATGACTGCTAGACGTCTGCAGGCCAGCCATGAACTCTATGCTCTGTTTTAAACTGTCCAGTCTCTCCTAAAAGCACACACATACCGTCATGGCCAAAAGTTTTGGCAGTGACATAAATTTTGTGTTTTGCAAAGTTTGCTGCTTAAGCTGTTGTGGTGTTCATTCACATTGTTTCTAGATTATTGTGTAGAGTGATCAGATGCATTTTAAATAACTGCTAAAAGCTTCATTGGCCAAAAAATTCACTTTAAGTTTAAGTTTTTGATCCTGACACAAAATGACCAGCTAACATTAATTGACTAATCATATCAGCAGCACATGTGAAAGTGTGAATGAGTACTAGTCAGGTTAATCACTATCATACTAATTAGATAGTAAGAGCAGACTGATTGCTATAAAAGGAGGGAAGCAGCGCTTCCAATCATTGTGTTCTTATTAGCAATGGTTACCTCCAAAGAAACACGTGCAGCCATCATCGCTTTGCATCAAAATGGCCTCACATGCAAGAAAATTGCTACAAAGAATATTGCACCTGAAAGAACCATTTACCGGATCATCAAGAACTTCAAGGAGAGAGGTTCGACTGCAGTGAAGAAGTCTTCAGGA